CCACCTAAATTTTATGAATAACGACTCTCTATGGCTGATAAGCAGATCGACCTCTGTAGACCACACGCGGAGGCTGTCGAAATCATGCTGAAGTATGTCGCGTTCGTTGGGAACATCAACCACTCCGAATCTTTCGGTCGTCCGAACAAGGTGACCGAAGAAGTTCACGTTCTTCTTTAATGTCGATCAGGAACCAAAGGAACCTCAATACTGTGCCCCGGGGTAGGCCACCAGGGGAAGGATACCAGTCAGTTGGATGATCATCAAACTGTACATCCCGCTTTCGTTCAATAAATAAACTGATGATCCACTGGTGCATTGAGCCACCAGCACCCCACATCCTCAGCCTGTGGATTGGGACCACATGATTCACATTAAAGAGGGCTTTACTGGAGTCGATGCAGATCACGTCGACTGACTTCACCCAGTTCCGTGCTTGCAATAATTCGCGCCGCGTTGCCAGAAATTTGGTGATGCATGAGCCACCTTTCAAGAAACCGTGCTGTGCCGGCATCATGATGTCTTCCGGCTCCAGCAATTAGATCAAACCTTTCTTCGCCAACTTCTCAAGTAGCTTGACCAAAACGGTGGCCAGTCAAATGGGCCAGTAGTTTTCTACCTTGCTTGCGTCACCGCCTATTGGAACCGGTTTGGCAATCGAGCGTTTCTAGCCGCTGTTGACCAACAAAGAGTTGAAATTTAACGGGTAGCACCCGTCAGGACTGCAAGGCTTCGTGCCGTCAAGACTGGAGAGCGGACTGTGTACACACCGCAATCCAACCTGTCTAGTTCGGTTGGGGAGGAAGAAGTCGAATTCGGTACAGATGCACGGCCAATTAGAAATACGAATCCTTGACCACACTGCTGTTTTCGTTGCTATTTCTATCAAGTTTGCTAACTCAACTCTTCAACCTCTACTCACAGATCTCCCCACCTCCAGCCTTCATCTGCACGCACTAGTATGACCTCCCAATCACCGCCACAAACTACCCACTGGTCGCAACTGATAGAAGACCCAACCAAACTCCTGGTTTCCAGTGCCCTGTGATCGCAACCGTCCGTCACTCTACCGAAGCCCTAGCTTTTCCTCGACCTGGTTCTCCATTCATCCTCGCAGTGTTTAGTGTTCTCAGTTTGAGGCAGGTTGGACGACAAGCATGGGTGACCCGCACTCTTGAAACGCTCACGGTAGACATCTGTTGCCTTTCAGAAACCAGATTGCAAGACTCTAGCGCAGTCATCAGAATGGTTTCTCCGGTAAACGCTGACTTTACATACCACTTGCGCCTTTCCGGGGACCCAGAAGCTGACACCACTGGCTAAGCTAGTGTTGAGGTTGCACTGAATGCCAGGGTTGAACCAACTCTGATTGAATGAATCCCAGTCAACAGTCGGCTATACGCAGTCCGATTAAGAGGTTCATGTTATGCAAGTAGGCGTCAAAACATTAAGGGTGCTTCGTTTGTCGTCACCGTCTACGCCCCTACAGACTGCAGCCCGGATGCAGTCACGAATAACTTTTACCAACAGCTACAAGACCTTATGCACTCCTCTAAAAGGATTGATATTGTCATTCTTGCAGGGTAGGCACGGGTGGGTCGCCTTCCACCAAGTGAGCACCATCTTGAGGGTAGTTTTGGCCTCGGTAGCAGTCGATCAGACAATGGAGACGGACTACTTGCTCTTTGCGCTGATAACCGCTTGATTCGAGCATTAGTTTTTGACACTCGAAGAGACAGAATGCTACCTGGCGCCCCCCCCTTACAAACGCAAGAGCGGTCCCAGCTAAACCACATAGTAAGCAGTTACCGATGGCGCGAAAGGGTAACGGACTGCCGATCGTACTGCTCAAATTTTCTGGACTCCGATCACGCAATGGCTCGTGCTAAGATTTGCATGCGTTTCGGAGGATTAGCCAAGCGCTCTCACTACTGACCGAACATCGCAAGTCAACGAAAACCTGCGAAGTTAACCAGGCACCATGCCTCACTGTTATTATTGCTTGGCTCAACTTCTAATGGTGACCTCGATTCGCAGTGGGCGCAAATCAAACATGCCTTAGTTTCCGCCAGTATCGACACTCGAAGAGTCGCCCGTCACCCACCGAAGAATTTGACTTCCGCCATCTCTTTGTTGCTGATGGGCAAACGTCGCTTGATCCCGTCTGATTCCAGCCATAATGAAGAACGCCAATCCATAGATCGAGTTGCGCAGGAGTCTGCATTAAGACCGTGAAGCTTGTTGGTGTGAACACGCTAGAGAAATGGAACTTGCTAGTATCTCTGGTAATACTAAAGAACTTTTCCATCTCATCCGAGTCACTGAAGGTGTTCGATCTGCTATAAGTGAAACAATGTGCGAAGAGGATGGCACCTTAATCACCAAGCTTCAGCGACGGTTGTAGCGATGGGCCAAACATTTTACTTCGCAGTTTTGTTGGCCTCCAGCTCCATCGGTCTCCTCTGGCGGTCGCACTGTTGCCGAGTGGTCTATCCCTACAGATCATCCTTCTCTCACCAGGAAATCGAGCAGGAGCCCCGTAATATGAAGCGTTATAAAGCCTCCGGTCCTGATAGTTTTCCTCCCGCTCTAGTTAAAGACGGTGGCGATTCGCTGGTTCAAGAACTCACCGATTTGTTTACGAAGTTTGGTCGAATGAACAGGTTCCATCATCTTGTGGTGAATCGATAATCCGCCAATCTTCAAAAAGGGCCTGCGCACAATCTAATTCAAGTACAGAGGCATAAGCTCAGTTCCCGTCGCTCGAAAGCTTCTGGTGTCAAACATACTTCGCAGGCTCTCCCCAACGCGCGAATCGCTGCAACAAGAAGAGCAACCTGGATTTCGCGGTGATCGCGGCTGCATCGATCAAATTTTCACACCGCTAGATCTTCGAGCTTCGCCATGTATAGCAAAGGCCAACGATTGCTGTGTTCTTGGATATCCGTGCAGCCTTTGATACTGTCGATAGGACTATACTGTGGCACTGACTACTGAGGAATGGTGTCCCCGAGAAGTTCGTCTCCATACTCGCACTCTCTATAATCTGACCTCGAGTAATTAGGGCTTATGGCATGCTTTCGCCTTCCTTTATGATCTCTAGTGGAGTTAGGCTTCTATTCAGTTTTGTCACTAAAGATGTCCTAAAGAATGCTCTGGGCGATTCGTTGAACGCTGATGTTGAGCCCCTTCCAGGTAGTCGAGCTGTTGATTTGGACTATGCTGATGAAATAGTCTTGCTGGGTGACGATTCACTAAACCGCTTGGCGATTGACGCATTAAAATATGGTATGCACTTTTCGCCATCACAATGCAAGGTTCTTTTTCAAGGCTGGCAGGTGCCTTTGCTTGCACTCACGCTTGGTAGTGAAACAATGGGGGTTATGAAGAGTTTTGTCTACTTGGGAAGTTGCATCGCTGCTGACGGGGTTTTTGGAGACGATATTTCGATGCACATCTCAAGAGCACACCTCGCTCTTTCAAGGCTGAGGCACTTGTGACGTCGCCACGACATTAGCCTCTGCACCAAAGGGTGGGTCTATTGTGCAACTGTTCCTGCTGTACTGTTGTACGGATGAGAGACCTGGCCCATTCGTACCGTTGACTGCGCAGACTACCCGTCTTGGAGTATCGCTCTCTGCGGCCTATTACCAGTGTGAGTGGCTGCAGCACGTAAGCAATATGGAAGTTAGACACCGTGTCTTGGGACAAGGAAGGCATTCGCTCGAGGAGCTCGTCTCACTACGTCAACTGCTGTGGCTTGGACACGCATTGAACATGTCTGTTCAGCGTTACCCGCGTCGTGCTTTGCCTGTGGTTGCTTGAAGAGACGGTCTGGTGAACAGCCTATAACTTGGAGAAACCGCATGAAAAGCTGACGAAAGAGTTGGCCTCATCCGGTTGTTGTCGACTGCCTGGTAGGGGTCCGAGAGATGCGGATAGTTGCTAGTTAGAGACCTTGGAAGGCATGGCTCAAGATCGACGTCAGTGGCAGACCTGTGCATCGGTGCCTTGTGATGAACCCCTACCTCCCAGCAAAAATTCAAAAACTGACTAGTATACTGGACAAAAATTTGCTGTTGTTGTTCTTCCTGTTTTTTCATACTGTTTGCTAATCCGTCATGATTCCGATGGCACAATATCTGTGCCACAGATTGCGCTCTCTCTCTCTCCCTATATATATATATATATATATATATATATATATATATATATATATATATATATATATATATATATATATAATATACGGAAGTGAAATGCGCCGTCATTGCAGAAGCACACTCAGTGCTCGGAACTTGAGGTTGCCCGTCAGACCCGCCTAACACTGATACGGCACCTGTAGACCTCAGACACCGGCTCACTTAATCGAAGATCTGTGTTTGCACGTAGATACTGACAATTGGCCCATAATATTATTTGGTTACCAGCTTCTGCCGTTATTTCACTCATGGTAGGAGCCATTTTATTTAAACTGCATGCGGCCCCTAGGTTGTTGAAACCACTCTCATAAGTGCTTCTTAGCTTGGGAGTAAGATGCCGGTGTTCGTCATCTACCCACTGGACAATCCACGACATCTTAAGTGGAGTTGGAAATGAATTTCAGTTTTCCATTGTGTTGTAATTTGTTCGTTTCGGTACGTATCCCACTCACAGAGTATGAATCGAGAAACGTACGAAATAGATTTTCATCCCCTTGAGCAGCCGGAGCCATCATTTTATTTTCAGTGGTTACAGCAAGCAGCAGAGTGGACAGAAAGTGGTCATATTTCCCCAACTACTTTTTAGTGTACTACTGAGGGGAAGACGAGTTTCTGGGCTAATTGTACGTATTTCCCCGAGTGCCTCACATTGGTATTGTTATTCTCATGATGTGGCTACAGATGAGACGTGTCTGGCTAGCCTCATCAAAGACCACACAGTTCTCACTTCACACTCTTCAAACTATAAAAGTATTGTGTAGAGAATATTAGACCCTAATTCACCCAATTGTCTTGTAGAATACTGGATACGGAGCTCAAGGTGGTGGGCAACAGTTGGCTTCTCCAGGAAGTTGTATTCCCCACTTCCGTTCCCACATGTTTATCGAATGCACTGCCAAGGGATTGTGTGGATTCTTTGAAGAGCATAAAAACTTTTGGCTTCGGATCATGCCGAGTTCAATGGACGAACACATGTTCGGAATGGTTATGGGCACCGTGATCAAAGTTCGAAGTAGTCTGGACTCAGTCAGCAAATGTGTAGTGTGTATGCGGACACAACCAATGACCACGGTGTTTTACCTGCACTGAGAGAGAAGGAAATTTCAAACGAAATTCTTATTGGCCTCTTCATTCACTCCACATTTCGAGCTGCACTACTGCCAAAAGAAATAATGTATCAAATCAAATGATCCGTGGATATAAATCGTGAACTTTATTTTTGGTCTCGCCCTCTCCAACCCATTTGCGCACACAAGATTGAATTTCCCCATGACAATTCGTGCGCTCTTTCCTTATAGCGGTATTTTTTCCAAATTCGCTGTGAGCTAGGAATATTAGCGAATTGCTTCTTTATGAGTACCTTAACTTTTCTTGCTATTGAGTATCAACCTTTTGTTCTAAGCACCCATAAAGACGATATGTGCAATGAAGTATGCAGCAAATGCAACGAACGCTGACTGCAGCAGCGTGACAACCCTATTTCTTTTCATATTAGCTCTTTTCTTTATCTGCTCAGATGGACGAAGCTAGGACCCCTTGGCCTCTGAGTCCGCCTGTGCCACTTGTATGCATTATATGATGATATTGTAACGGCAAATATTACAATTCGGATGTGATGAATGCATTTGGATATCTTGAAGTTTCTAGATTGAAGCTATCAAATGCCCTTGGTTGCTTATATCTGAAGGAGCATGTGAGGTACATCAATGAAAACGAAATACATTTCGTACTCATTAATGTGACAGAAAATCATTCAGATGGCTCGCTGAAATTAAGGCTTGTGAGTAAATGAGAATCGCTGCGTTTGAGTAGTCTAGTTAGTCGAGGAAAGACCAAATAGATCCTATTTGGAAGATTTTCAGGACGGTGTTGTTCCTGTTAACTAATAATGTTACAGATCCCCAGATCAAATAACTAAAATCCAACCAACAAGTTACCATAACAGGGAGATACAACGTCATTATGGTAAAAGCTCTGATAATGGTACAGAACAAGCGATATTGTCAACCCACACTACTTGCTCACTGGTTGCCTGTGAAATGAAAGCATTCTCGTCGGCTGATTCTAACCGCTACGCATTCTCATTGGCTGACTCCAGGTTAAGTTGAATCAAACGCCGTTAATACAATGCCGTAGTTGAGATATAGCTATGGACCGGGTATGGTTGATTCCTATAAACAGTCTTATCCTGACAATTTAGTAGCGACCTATCTGTTACGCCATGTACGCTTAATGAAACTGCTTGTAACGGCTACTGGAGAATCACGTTCCATCACCTAGGGCTGCTTACTCGGGCATGAGGCAGAAACATGTGTTAGATCTGCACAAGGTAAGAAACGACCAGAGAACTGAAAGGTGTAATCAATCAGGATGACATGCGAGTACCAAAACCCGAAACGTCTATAAACCATCACCTATTGTTACACACTACCGATGTTACCTCGTTTGGAGATGAAACTTCCGTCACCCAATTGACAAGCATGGAAAGCACGTGAACTACCACCAGCTCTACCAGTGTACCAGGAAATTTGGGATAATTCAGGCAACCATAAGTTGTGATATTAAGTGAGTATGATCGCAATCGAACGTCCCAATTTATAAACAGGCAAGTGACTTTCCAGCCCATCAATTATGAGGTTAAAGGAAAAAGAAACGGATCTATGAAACACTGTAAAGTGTAAGATTGATCGACCAGTTGCATCGGCACACAAATTTTCCCATAAGGGAGTTCTGCTTACGAAATAGACCTGTGAAAATAATCGTCATTATCAACGATAACAACACGCAATAATGTGTACAGACGCTTTATGGTATGTAGTTTTTACACCCACAATGTATAAACACACCCGAGTCGAGTCAGGAAGGAGCGCTACACAGAGTGCGTACAATGCGAAATGGTATACGTCAAGTCACAATAAGCTGAATGCATCCATATGGGCACATTTTCAGCACTTTACACTACCACTGGATATAATACGACATAACATCAATTGAACAGCAGGCGTTGACAAGAAAAACAGAAGGGCATACACAACTTGCGCTTCATTGCTATTAAGCAGACTAGTGGGCGCGATGGAATTAGGACATGGCGAGGTACGAGAAAACAAATTTGAAGTGTCTACTAACAGGGATAGTGCGTAGGTGGTGGGAGTTTTACAGAATCCTGGATGATACGTTGATGCATGCAACGAGACGCTTGCTGAAGACAAAATCAACGACAGTTTGATTAATCTAGAATATTAGAAAATAAATATTAGTGAACGCACAAAAAATATTTCTTACGAAATAGTCCAGGGAAACTAACAGGCGAGCAGTATATTTTTTAACGAAGAAGAATACATGCAGTTAAAATCTTAGAATAAAGGCACAGGGCACGAAAAGCATTTCGAAGTTGAGGGGGTAAAGTGAGTGGTTAACTATTTGAATAGTATCAATAGATGAATGAGGTACATCTTGATCACTCAAAACCGAAAGAAGAGAAGTGTTTACAATGAGTCGCATCCTATCGGATAGGAGAAGAGAGAACAAGGAGATGAAGTGTGCAATTTATCACCTGTTTTGGGCGCTTTTTCGCCACTAATAAGCTACCATATAGGGGGCATTGAAAAGCAAGCGGCCTCGTTGCTGTCAATCAACAGATCAAAATTAGAGAAATAAACCGAGATGACTCGAGATCTAGAGTTCCCAACTAAACGTTTATGTTGCGCCAGTTTTTAGTACTCCGCAAAATTCACTTCGATTACAATTTCTAATCTTTTCAAACAACTTCACCTGATGGAATCAACTGAAAATCCTTCAGGAGCTTCACTGTTTACAGCTATCTCGAACGCACTGTCAAAAACAAGCATTTATTTATGTGTTTACTTGTCCTCCGATGACCTTTACAAACGGACACAGACAACCTCCGGCTCACATCTCATTCTGGGGAAGTATATAATATTTACTTATTATAGTTTTCATTCTATTCCATTATTTTTGTTTCTTCCCATGGGTGGTCACAACTGGGTCGATCTCCCGAGGTGATGGATTGGATTTTCTAAGATAAATAATTATATCCACGCAAGGCCAATAACCACAAACCCATTGGCGAGAAAAAAGGTGCTGAACTCAAAAGGCTAGTAAACATGTTGACGGCCTTTTACATGTAACAGCGGCCATAAAAGACCAGTCAACATGATGACAGCTCACTTGTCTTCATTCCATATTAGCACATGGTCAGAGGAGGCGTGGAAGTGCGGGTGAAACCTTTCGAGGGACTACCCCGTACGGAAGTCGGTCCCCAGCAGACGGTTCCACTTTACTTGAACTACTTGCTATGTTTACATTGATACCTACGCTATACTTTCCGCATTTGCATTACTTTTAAATAATTGAACACCGCAAAACTTCTCTGGGACCTACATTGTGAAATTCAAAAACTATTCTTTACCATCCGACTATGTTGTTCATGGTGAGCAGACAACGTGTTTGGTCTGTGTCGCGCATCGTCGAGAAATATACTATTTACTTATTCATTGTGTTGGCAAGTAAGCCCGGTAAAACCAAGCGGCCAATAACAACCAGCTATTAAGAGGGGCATACAGAACGTCAGTGGCGCATCTGCGTTGCGACTTTGATCGCTGTGCTTCATGAGCGATTTTGAAGCATAATTTGCACCAGCATGTTATGCGAGGGTCCTCACATAGTAAACAGATGGACCACAGGAACGAGGTAGACAGTAAGCGAGAGGCGAATATGACGGAATCGATTTTTGGACACCGGTTGACCGATGTTCGTGTGCAATACGGTTAGCTATGCTTCGTTTGGTTAACTAAGTCAAAGGAGGAACTTAATTGGCCTAAAAGATCGTTGTGTACGAGAGTATACTGACACAGTATTTATCGAGGCGCTCCGCATATCACTTGCTGTAGCTTTCGATGAGTTGACTTTAATGCATAAAGGCTTGTGTGAAAGACCGAAGTTAATATCTGAATAGTGTATGATGGGATAAAAAGCATCAGCTTTACGATACACACACGTGATGGAAAAGGCAAAAGAAAATCAAAATGTTGTCAACGGCGAACTGTCACCAATCCACCTATAACATATTGACATACTGTTGTGTAGTATTTATCTAATAGTCTTTCGAAGGTCGTGATGAGTAAACGGATTCTACTGTCCAAGCAGGTGTCGCGCCAGTATTTTCATGATTTACATAGATATCAGTATCCAGCATGTGATAAATAGATCCCCGAGAAGTCATCGATACACTGAGGAGAACACACCGATTAAACGAAGGCGCAGTTACAAACTGAGATTAAATAACCCCCTGTCTTCTTGGTATCTCTTCACTGGATGCTGCAAATTACGGATGTCTTGTCTTCACAAGGAACACTAGGTTGGAATCGCATAATCAATGTGAGGACGAATTAATCAATAGGGTTAATAGCTGTCGCTGGCTGCAGAAGCCGTTAGTTCATATTCGCTACATTTGCTGCTCTCGTACATTGGAGCGAACTGCCTAAAATTTCTTAAACATTTATACCTAGGTTCAATTCGCTGGTTACGCGCTTTAAAATGTTCTAGCCCATTTGGTATGTGTAAGTTTGTTACGTAGCATTATTAGGTGGCACTCTGTAGGATTCAGGGGAGTTGGTTCACTTCTGCTCAATCATAAACGCGATCCAGATGGTTTTGAAGATAGTTTAGCGGGAGCCTAGACAGCGGTTCCAGAAGGCAGATGGAATGAAGGGAACTTTTTATTTGGTAGAGTAAAAGATTCCCTGTTAGAGTAGCTACACAAAAGACAACGATGGATGTTGTTAGCTAGAGGGAAGGATAAGAGTGCAGCACATGATGCAGTCGCGCGGTGCGAACCAAACGAGCGCTAAAGCAAAGACAGAGCTCAATGCAAACAATCGAACTCAAGATATAGTTCGTCAATCCACATCGCGTGCCTGGGTGTACAATGAAATAATTTTATACGACGAAACCAGGCAAACTGGGAAAATCTCCAGACTACTACATAGCCCTCGCCCTCAAGGGACTGTGTACGCACTCGTACGATCTGCATGCGGACTATCTGTCGCCAGCTAGCCTTTTGCGAGATT